GATCTGTGAGTTAGCCGTGCCCTGACTTTGATCAGCCCATAGGTTGTTTCAGGGTATCGATAAAATTGAATATCGCCGTGATTTATAAAGCACTCCTACTTAACTTGTTGATGTCATTTTAACACAACTTCCTTCCCAAGGGTGAAATCCAACTATGTAGAAGATAACACATCCTATGTACCAGTGCAGGACGTGGTTAAAGCATTCAAGAATTCATTTGGTATTGATATCACTTATAAAGAGTGTCACCAGATGATCTATTCAGCCTTCACCAGCCCGAGACAACGAACATGTCCATTAAAGACAGTACGTGTATCATCGATGGGTGCTCAGTATGTCTATAGGGGAATAGCTCCTATTCTACCTATTGCACCTATTGCAGCCGAAAAGAATGACAAGTTTGAGGAAGTAAGTACTAGATGGGGTAGATTAATGTCAAGACTTAAGGGGAGCGCACTCGCCTCTCGCGTCTATGAATTACCCATGCTCTGACTTAGATCATCTCGGACTTTACTTGGTTTCCACTCATGACCTGTTTATGACGTAATAGCACGGATAGCAAATGATTGACGTGTTTGAATCACGTGTTTCAGGATTCGTGCAGCGAAGATTCATCTCCTGAACCTCACAGTGATCCGGTCCAAGAAGAACGAGAAGAAGCATGGAGAAAACTAGTTGATGAAATAAAACAAGAGCGCGACCAAGCTGTCGTAGATAGAAACCAGGCTCTCTCGGCTCTGATGGATCTCGAGAAAGAACACACGCATGCGCTAACGATTATCGATCAACTGCGCAAAGACCTCGAAGTTAAAGTTACTACAAGTAGTTTCAACGGGAGAACCGGGTCTAGTAAACTCTCAAGATTATCTCCGTCAAATTTCGAAAGGTTTTCAGAAAGTTCCGCTTCAAAGGCAGAAAATAATATATTATCAGCACTGGCTCCCACGTGTGAGAAGTGTTCCTCTGGAAAACYGGTGTACGAACACCTGAAGGACGAAAGAGAACAGATATGGAGGGAAATTGTTAATAAAATAACTACAGAAAAAGAGGAAGCTAAGAGTAGACTGGAGGTAAGCTACCGCAAGTCCAAGAGTTTTTTTTACAGGGGGAGCAATGTACCATTTTCCCGCCAATACACGCGCGTACGCGTTTCATATTATCTCTCGCCATATCCACAAGTTTAGTAATGTTTAGTTTAGGCGGTTGCCCCCACCCCCCCCCCCCTCGCTACGCTCATGGCAACAAAATAATTAGCGAAATTGAGTAAATTCCCCGGGGGTGCCTGTTAACAAAGCTGGTATACCAGTGTCACAGCCATTTCGATTTTTCTAGGTCACGTGATACTGATCGTGCTCTCAAATTCCAATATGACGGTGTATCTGTCTTTACATTCCCAAGATAGTCGAAAGACAAAAACATGGCGGCCATTGTGGTACCGTTAACAATGGATTCTAATGAAAAATCTTTTGTTGAAAGGCACCAATGGCCGCGATGACGTTACGTGGATCGCAGAATATGATAACGTCTGTATTTGTTTTTGTTCTGAAGGTGGTGAAGAAAGAGCGAGATTCATATCTAGAAAGACTACATGGTTTTGAAAAAGAAAACCAGCAGCTTCGCGACTCGGTACCATGCTCTTCTCCAACCAGCACGAGTTCAAAGGTCAACATGTCAAACATACGACCAATCAAGATAGAGAGCCGTTCTGATGTCATAAGAAGTAATATCATCAAAAATAATAATGCAAACATCAACAAGAACAGCAAGGATTCTCTTAGTTCTGTACTTTCGCATTTAAGATCAAAAAGGTGAGTCCGGCAACTACATACTTCTCAGTTAACATACCCTGCTAGCAGAAGTATGTTGTTCTAGCAGAGGTATGTTGTTCTAGCAGAAGTATGTTTTTCTTTTTCCCATGCAGCGGAGGGGAAGAAAAAACACCCTCTGCTCGCAGGGTACAGTTAACAGTACAAATCGWAAAACCTTGGTCGCCTAGAAAAATTTCAAGAATGTTTATAGTTAATTGACCAATCATAAACGACTCCGTCCAACCTCCCTTCTAATGCTCCCTCGTACCTCCTTACTCCCTTCCCCTACCCCCTCCGTCTCCCCAATATCCTCCTTTCCACGCCCCCCTCCGAATCCCAATCCCACGATCACGACTTATGGAGGGTCGCTGAGCAAGTTAGACTCACCTTCCCCATTCTCTATAAAAATTAATTATGGGCCTTTAATTTCCTTCTTTTCGCTTATTTTGTTACCAGGAAACAAAGCACCCCAACAAAGTTTAGCAAAGTTCCACGTCTCTCGAACTCTGAAAACGAGGTTCAAGTCGAGTCCAGTGCATCACCGACAGAACCAGTATTAACACCAACATTAATGGACAGCGGTAGCTCCCCTGATGACGTAATATCTGCATTTAACAAGAAAGGTCGATCCCAGACACCTGAAGTGCCGAGGTCAAACTCTGTAAATGATACAGAGAGGGAACTGTGCAAGAGTCCTGAAAGTCCTTCTGAGGATCCAAGAGAAATGCTCTTGTTTTTCGAAGGCAGTGACATGGTAGCATTCAAACCTCACCCAATGGAAGATTAAACTGCACTGCGAAGTACTAACATTGTTTTTACGTCATAACTTTGGTGACGTCACAACCTTGACGTTGAACAAGAATTCTTATTCAACCATATGCTTGCGCAAAAATGTATGTATCTTTGCCTGACCTACGAAATAGGAACAAGTGTTACATATTTATAGAGTCCGCGGATCGGTATATTGATATGAATGGAGGTCGAGCATGATTGACAGTGATCATTCTGCTAACAAAAAACTAAAAGCATGACAAGAAAAGTAGAAGAACCTTGAAAACTGGATTGACAAGGACGTGAGAAGTGAGCGATGAAAAATTGCCTTAAAAATTCCCGTCTTGACGAGGAAGCCATCGTCCTCCGTTCACAAATTAGGCTCATGTCAAACGTCGAACTTCGCATGAGCCGAACCTAATGGCATCAAAGAAGACCGCCTTGTTATCCATGTTTTTAATTAGGTTGGGCTTGTGTGAAGTTCGACGTTTGGCTTATTATAGAGGTTTTGCACCATCATGTGCCCATGCCCATAATACAGCTTGGACTACCTGTGGTTAGATGGCTGGGCCGGGTTGTTCAAAGCTGGATTAGCGCTAATCCAGGATTAACTCTATAGGTCTTATTAAGAGTTCATCCAGGATTAGCACTAATTTGAACAACTGGGCCCTGGGCCCAGACCAATAAAATCCCATTACTCTAGAGAATTGAATTCTTTCTTATGTAAAACTATTGTGTTGTTCCTGCCATCAACACGGCTGCCGTCACGTGATGGTGCAAACCTCCATTGCACATCGCATATAAAGTATTCACAAACTCAAATGATATTATCACAAGGCGACGAAGGACATCACTAATGTCATCAGTATGAACACTCGATTAAACCCCTGATAAGTGTTTATTCATTCATTACGCACTAGGGTACGTGTATATATTGTATATTAATTGTAATATATGTTACCTAAGCTATTTATTCGCCTATCGATGCACCGGGAAACTGACAAAGACAAAGCATTCAAATAAGGCTGCAAGACCTCGATTTTAAGATTGCTTTAGTTGTGTTTAACCAGTCGACCGATATCTGGAAGGAATACAACGTAATGGAAAATTGAGTTTTTAAGGAGAAATTGTTACAAGAGTGTTGCCAAGAGGTTCTAAGATCCAAGACAAAGTGATACAGGGCGTGCGGACCTTAGATAAATTAATAAACCAGAGATCCGTTTATAGATATGTGAGAAGAAAATTTATCTGTAAACTTTGCCAATAAATACAATGCTATCTCTTGTTCTCTGAGATACAGCCCTTTCTCTTTTCCCTTCCTAACGTACCGCAGAGCTATGGGTGCTGAGGGGCCCCACCAATAATTTTGCCGCCATTTTTGATTTATTCGCTTATTTTCCATTTTGTTATAAAATTCATTGTTCGGAAGAGATTTCTGAAATATTAGCCCCCCCAATCCAAAACTCGTTTCGCGGTCCCTGAGACAACAAAAAATCCCCAATTCTCTACTTTCACATCCCCATAATGCCTTGCGTCTTTGGTGGGTAACTAATCAAARAACTTTCCCAAATTGAAAGGTTTCTTAATTGAATTTATACTTTTCCTGCTTTTATCTGTACAATACTGATTATCAGTTTATTCCAAGTTATTTTTGTGTGTACAGATCATCAAGAGTTTTGGTCTTACAGAAAATGTATTGACTTACGAAAAGATGTTTAAAATTTACCTTAAACGTCTTCAAGCTTCTATCTTTTTCTGTTTTTTACTTCTTCGCTTTATTATTGGATACCAAACAAGGTATTTTCAACATTGTCTGATCAGCCTTCAGCAAAATAAGTGGGTTTTTACCCTCTGGTTACCCCCCAAAGACGCAAAGTATTTCGGGGATGTGAAAGTAAAGAATAGAATTAGTTTGGAGGCACTTCCGCGTTGGAGATTTTACTACCGCTCCTGACCAGAATATCTCATAATCATACTGGTCGCTCAACCAATCACATTGCAAGAGACTCTTTATCCATTTATTATTGATATTTTATTAATATTTTTCATATAAAATGACTCGGGGAAAAACTGCGCCAGCCAGCGGCAGTGTTCAACGCATGCGCAGTGTAGTGCTCTTTGCATGCCTCGTCCATTTTGTGGAGGAGAAAATATAATCTTGTAAAAAATATTCAAGTTAAACTCCATCTTCTCTTCATTAATACGGCAATAAAACAAGCTAGCAGAATGACGACCTCACCCTATCACATCGCGTCACTCTTGGACAAGGTAAATAATGATCTTACCGTCCGATTTATAGCAATTTTAATTCATTTTGTCGGGAAATTTCTTCTTCACTTTGCACGAGTGACAGAAAAGTTCTGTCATCTCTTGTTCTGAAATGTTTTTTCTTGTATTCTGTACTGTTAATATCTATTAAAATACAATATATTGATATTCTTAAGGAGTTTAGCGATTCTGTTAAAGCTGAATGGGGTTTTTATTAACAGAACTGTGAACAATCTATCAAAACTTCACTTGCAAGGTGTAAATGATTTATGAGCACTAAGTGAAAAAGTACGAGTTGTAATAGTTTATAATGAAGCTAGAGAAGCTGTTATCATGCTGTACATTATGTATATTATATTAAATGGTGTACGTGTGTGAGGTTGTTAATAAAGTCCAAGCATACATATCTATTTTGATTGTTTCCTGTTTTTATAGTCGATGTCCCAAGGCTAACCTTTTACTCTTGCAACTGTCAAAAATGAACTGCAAGAGACAATGAACAAACACTTATTGCAATAATTGTAAATAATAAAGTCTGAGAAATATCTTCATATTTAATGCTTATTGAACTGTAGTTATTTCCTATCATTTACAGAGGGTTGTACATTAATGTACTTGTGTTCGCTTATGAAGGTCTTCAAAAAATTGATTTCTGTTTAAATAACTATTCTATTTTGTTATCCTAGTTTTATATGGTTTTTCACATGGCCATACGTAATGGAGAATATCGATAATTTTCTCATCTGGAAAATGAAATCTTTTAATTCTCATTCAAAAATATTCCATTATTTCTGACATTTGAAATGGCTGCCCTGAAATACCTCAGTTTTTATATGTATTTTCATCTTTTCTGTTAATATATTAATAGTCTCTGACATTTTTGTTAAATAATTAAAGATGACATCAAGTGATAAAGACTTCAGGTTTATGGCCACCAATGACCTGATGGCAGAGCTGCAGAAAGATTCTATTAAATTAGATGATGAAAGTGAAAGAAAGGTATGAATCAATCCTTGCTTGCCTTATTCTAGAACTAGTGCAAAATCATTTGTTACTGTAAATAAAGGTTGTTGTTGTCATAGTTGAAAAAACAGTCTCTTGTGATGTGTTTTCAAGGGGGTTGTTGTTAATCAGGACTCTGTCCTGTTACCTCCTTCCTTTACGTGCTCATCTTTTCTTTGTAATGGTAATTCCTTTTAGGTGTTATGTTTGTATTTACTTTGATCATGAAATTAATGAAAATAAAACAATGTGTCCCATCTATTTCCTTGTGCTTGTTAGAGTCTTAATCTTAGAAGTCATTAATTAGCTTATTGGAACTTCGATGAAATTTTAGGTAGTTCAAATGCTTTTAAAGTTGCTTGAAGACAAGAATGGGGAGGTACAGAATCTTGCTGTCAAGTGGTGAGTTACTACTATAATGACCTGTTATATACAGCTGTAGTACTTGATGAATAGAGCATGTGGATGTATGTTATAACCACCATCTTGGTTGATGATAACAAGGTATTCCTCATTAGCTTCCTTTGTTACATCAACCAATCTGGTGGCTGTTTCATTGTTATTCCTCCTATTCTTGGGGTGCATGTTACATAGCGGCCATATTGGTTGACGATAACAAAGCATTACTCATTAGTTTCTCTTGTTAGATCATTGTTGCATTGTTATTCGTATCTCAGGGGTTTTGAGTCACATGGTTGCACACACTATAGGGAGTTGCATTACAGAAACAGTGCTATTATGCAAATATGCAATTCTTTATACCACTCTTAATGTGTCTAACAGCATGGTAAATTAATATTTGATATTCACATGTATTACTGATTGTTGTCTAACACCTTTATTAAATTTATGTATTTGTAGTAATAGAGGGCCACTATTTTATCAGCCATAGTCACATTCTATTCTATTCTATTCTTTTCTATTCTATTCTATTCTATTCTATCTTATTCTATTCTATTCTATTCTATTTATCAGATATAAATATATTCTATTAATATGATTGCTTTAAATATCCTTTGACATATTATTTAATGTTATTAATACATTAATAAAATTCAAATCCTTTAAATTTGCAGCTGCATAAGTTGCTTGATATTCTGCGAGGATCAGCTCAATTAGATATAATACATTACTGTATATTAATTAGTATTAATGTTTTTCAATTCATATTATTGATATTTTTCTATTACCATAACTCCAATACCTTTGCACTCTTTATAGATATTTGTTATTATCTATTAACCATTGGATATTATTAACATGTATTGTTGTTATTTTTGTTGCTAGTCTTGGACCACTTGTTGGTAAAGTAAAAGAGTATCATGTGGAGACTATTGTAGATACATTGTGCTCCAACATGCTGTCTGATAATGAACAGCTCCGAGACATCTCTAGTATTGGTGAGTAAAAACTGTTGTGCACATGTATATAGTCAACCCTTGTTACAGTGAACACCCTCAGTACCCTCACTTGCTGTCCATAATAATGACCATCCACAATAGCAAAGAATGCATTAATGTTATTTTATTGTAAGTATATTTCGTCAGAGATTTTCCTCTTGTCTATAATGTCATAATATTGGGGTGTCAGGTGTCCATAATATTGGGTGTCAGGTGTCCATAATATTGGGTTGTCAGGTGTC